AAAGCTCACTGGCCCTAGCCGGTTTGGCTCAGTGGATAGAGCCTCGGCCTGTGGACTGAAGGGTCCCAGGTTCTATTCCGGTCAAGAGCACATGCCTGGGTTGCAGGCGTGATCCCCAGTAGAGGGCATGCAGGAGGCAGCTGATTCATGATTCTCTCTCATCAATGATGTTTCTCTCTCTCCCTCCCTCTCCCTTCCTCTTTGAAATCAATAAAAATATATTTTAAAAAATAAAGTTCACTGTATCCAGTCCTCCCCCCACCCCCCAAAAAATCAACAACAACTGTGGTGAAGATTAAATGAGATGTGAGCATATAACTTCTGGCTTATAAAGGTGCCAGATAAGTGTTTTCACCTCAATTCTATAGCTCACAGGCTAAAAAGAAAGGTAAATACACTTTCAGCCGTTAAATCAACATTTACTGACGAGGATCTGACAGACCCCAGGAGCTGTACTGTATGAGTCCCGATCTTTTTTTAAAAAATATATTTTATTGATTTTTTTTACAGAGAGGAAGGGAGAGGGATAGAGAGTTAGAAACATCGATAAGAGAGAAACATCGATCAGCTGCTTCCTGCACACTCCCTACTGGGGATGTGCCCACAAGCAAGGTACATATATACCCTTGACTGGAATCGAACCTGGGACCTTTCAATCTGCAGTCCCACGCTCTATCCATTGAGCAAAACCAGTTAGGGCTATGAGTTCCTAACTTTATGCAGCTCCATGCGAGGTGGGGGAAATGGACAATGAACAAATGCATAGAAAACAAAACTTGACACAGGGTTGAAACAGGAATTTTAGGGATAAATAGAACAGATTTAGGAAATTTTTGAAATGAAGGGGACCATGGAGGAAGCACAGGGCTGCAGAGCAGCAGAAGGTATATTTCTATAGAATAGGGGAAGCTGAAAAGCTGCAACAGGCACATTTCCATAGAATGAGGGAGCTGGGAACAGCAAATATTTACAAAATAAAACGAAGCAAGCCCTTCATCCAGAAGGAGAAGAAGAAAGCCCAAAGGGAATAGGAAAATAGGGAAGGAGTTGGGGGAGAACCTCACATGTCCCACCTGGGCCAGGAGTTACTATAGTAACCAGTCTAAGGGAATAGTGACCATCAGAGGGGATATCAAGGCACCAGGATCTGCTGCCTTTATAAACCATAGGGAAAGGGAACTCAGTGGGACCCTTCGCCCCTCCCTACGTGGGAGTCCATTCTGTGGGACTCTTTCTCTCTCCCCACTTGGGAGTCTACATGTTCTTCAATAAATCTCCATCTTTGCTATACCACTTTCTCTCTGTGCATTCATTCTTCGATTCTGGCGGACAAAAAATCAAGTTCCAGTCCAAAAATTCCATTTCAGAGTTAAGTGCTATAATGAAATATCGCGGATGGTAAGAAGAGCTTACCCCTGGAGAAAGGGAAAGATTTGTTGGTTAATTTGGATTCCACATGGAAATTCAGCTCAGAATTAGATTTGGAATTGACTGTTTGTGATCTAGACTAGCTCTGAAATTGGGACAGGACGTCGAGGTCTACCTAAAAAGACTCTGGCAGTGGGACAACAACAACACAGAAACTTTAAACCAGGAAGGAAACCTGCAGGTGACATGAGATGAAGGGGCTCCATGGAGCATTAACTCACCAGCTCAACAACTGCATCAAAGACACTGCCCATCACCATCACTTTGTCTCCGTTTGTCCATCTCCAGAGCTATGGCTCTATCCCCCGGGCACTTCCCTCCCCAGATCCAGGAAGGCTGCCTCCCTTCCAGAATTTACACCCAAAAAGGACCCTGTCTAACAGAGTCAAGGAGAAATCTTCTTTTGTCTCACTTTGGGAAGAGGAGAGCAGTTCCCTGAAGTAACCCAGGGGTCTTCCCCTGCCTCCTCATTGGCCAACATTGTATCACATGTTTATTTATAAACCAATCCCTGGACAGCAGACACCCCCCTGACCCCCTTGGTGCAGTAAAGCTCATTTGTGGTCACATGAGCACAGCCGGTTGTCCAAACAAAATCAAGGTTCTGACAAGTGGCAGAAGGAATGCATGCTGGGTAGGCAACACCAATGTCTATGATGGGTCAACTTGTGGGACTGAGGTAGAATTGGATTAAAGATCTGAATTGAGATAACACATGGGCTCACACTAAGGAATGAAGCATATGTGGGGGTCTGAGTTAGAAGTGAGGGTCAATTCCACTGTTAGGAATCAGCCATCTACTAGTAATCTGACAATGGTTCCTGTGTTACTCCATGCAAATGCTAAAGTCCTACCTCGGTCTTCAATCCCCATGTCTTCCAAATCCTGTGAGGCCTCTGAACCCATCACCCACCCTTGTCCCTCTGATTCATTCAGCTCCAATAAAAAAGTCTTCCCTGCTAGAACATTCTAGGTCTCCCTCCTCTTCTCACCTGCCTGTCACTCTGCCCAGGACTCACTGCTCCCAAGTAGCTACATGAATCCATCTACACCTCTTACAAGATTTTGTGCGAATGTCCTCTTCACCTGGGGTCTTTCCAACCACCTTTCCCAACATTATAACTGCAGGGGTGGTGAGATCAAAGGGAACCAATAACCCCCTAGGCCTCCTCTGGTCTTATTTTTCTCCATAGCACTCACTGCCACATAAAAAACAACAACCTATAAATGTGAAGTTCTTGTTTCCTTACTTAAGTCTCCACCCAGTGGAATGAGGGGCTTTGTGACTGAATTTTGTTGTTTTGTGGAAGCTGTGCCCTCAGAGGCCAGAACAGATTCTGGCTCACAGTCAATGCTCAGTAGATACTTCAGGAATGAATACAATGAGCAAAGATGAAAATGCAAAGAAATTCATCCCACCATCATTGTAATGAAAGCCATTCAAAGGCACTTCAAGGTTGAAGAGTGAAATAAGTCAGAAGACAGCTATCGTGTAGAATAAAGGTAGGAGTAATCATTCTAAGAGAGGAAATGGTCCAAGACTTTCTAAATTTATTTTTAATTTGTTTGTTGTTGTTGTTAATCCTCACCCAAGGATATTTTTTCGTTGATTTTTTTTTAAAATATATTTTATTGATTTTTTACAGAGAGGAAGGGAGAGAGATAGAGAGTTAGAAACGTCAATGAGAGAGAAACATCGATCAGCCGCCTCCTGCACATCTCCTACTGGGGATGTGCCCGCGGGATGTGCCCGCAACCCAGGTACATGCCCTTGACCGGAATGGAACCTGGGACCTTTCAGTCCACAAGCCAACGCTCTGTCCACTGAGCCAAACCGGTTTTGGCTTTTCGTTGATTTTTAGGGAGAGTGGAAGAGAGAGGGAAAGACAGAAACATCGATGTAAGAGAGTGTCACGGCCAAAGTAGATCCTGAGTTGGGGGGGAGGGGGGTGAAAGGATTGAGAAAAGACAGGCAAGAGAATGAAAGCTGGGTCTCGGTGGGACGCTGCTCCCTGATGAGGAGACAGCGCCCACAAGCCGTGTCTTTATTTTATAGCAGATGCCACGAGGCAAAGTAGGGGCGTGATCACATTGTTTACAGCATTCTCGTGAGTTTCACCTCACTCAACTACATGCACCCGAACTCTATCACAAGGTACGTGGGGCTATGTGTTTGGACCATAGGTTCAAGCTCACAACCACGGCCGTTGGCTATGATTGTGCTGGGAGGGCCCTGCCCTCCAGCTGGGACTTGCACGTGGCAATGAGAGGACCCTGTCCTTCCATTAGTCCCAGGCCTGAACCTGGCCAAAACACTGTAACCGCGACCCACAAGAGGGACACATCGATTGGTTGCCTCTTGCACCAGCCCCGATCAGGGCCCGCGCTGGGGAGGAGCCTAAAACCAAGATATATGCCCTTTACGGAATCAAACCCAGGACCCTTTGGTCTGCTTGCCAAAGTGCTGTTCACCGAGCGCCTAGGGCTTCTAAAGACTTTTTAGAGAGTAAATAAAATGGCCCACTGCATAATGTTCAGACTTTTTTTGCTAGAAATTCATACGATGTATAGAAATCAAAGTATAATAAGTGAAAAAAGTACATATTTAGTAGGTGGAGTTAGGAAAGCCTTCTCTTTAGATTCATACCCCAATATTAGGGTTGGGTTCAGGTTCAAAGACACGTCTGGGATTCGGCCTGACAAGTTCCCACAGGCTGCTCAGAATCACGGGATAAGGTCTAGGCCACCCTTGAGAGGGGCTGAGGGCAAGAAAAGTGGCCACAGTGGGGGACCCAGGGCACAGTCCATCCTTGACTCCTGCTCCTGCCCCTCAAGGCTAGTACCTGGTCACACCCTTCGTAGATGCCACCAGGGAGCTGGGACCTGCTGGAGCCAAGGCCCTGACCTGGCATCAGGAATGAGGGTGGAGGTAGAGTGCGGGCATATGGGTTTAGCTGCCTCCTGGTACCAGATAAGAGTAAATGCAGGTAAGGTGGCCCCAGAGCTGGGTTCGCTGAACTCCAGGACCCTGAGAGTTGGAGTGGGGCGGGTGGCTATAAGAGGACCACTCTGCACAGGGCCGGACACGGTTGAATCCCAACCCAGACTGAAGACCAGACCAGACTAGACCAGACCAGACACCTGCAGGTGAGAGGAAATCCCATGTGGGGTGGGGCAGGTGCATCTGGAGGGACAGCTCACTCTTGCTCTTAAGGGCAGAGCAGTAGAGGCCCAATATCTGGTTGTGAGAAGGAGGGGCTGGAGGTCTTCAGTTTTGGGTCTTTTACCTAAAAGGAACTTGGGACATAGAATTAAAATGGGGAGGGACAGAAAGCCCGATCATTAGGTGCTCTGCATGTCAGGCTGTCTCTGACCTGGACTTGTGGGTCTAGAGGGAGCAGGTGGGTGGAGACTGGGGCTCCTGGGTCTGAGCGGGAGGTGGGGGCTCCTGGGTTTGAGCAAATAGAAAGAACGTGGAGACCAGGAGCCCTGGTTCCTGAACTTTCTGTCTTTCCAGCCTCAGAACAGAAGGCCCTTCCTCCGTGGCAGCCACAGAGGCTCAGACAGGACACATGGCTGTTCCCCGGCTCCCACCCGTGCTGCTCCTACTGCTGTCCTTAGCCCTGGGATCTGCTGGACAAGAAGGTGAGGACCAGCCTGGGAGTCCTGCCCTGGCCCCTGGGCCTCACAGTCCCCCACCTCCCCTCTCCAGGGCCCCCTCTCTCCAAGGAGCTCCTGAGTCAGGACACTCCCCTGCAGCAGCCTCCTCCCATGGAGACACGGCCCCTGCGCAGTGCCCCTTTCTTCCTGCTCCCTCCTGACTCCTGGGTTCTTGGTGCCCTCCAGGCTGCTTCCCGACCTCAGTGTCTCTCTCAACAGAAGCTGGGGTTGCCTCCAGATCAGCTGCTGCCCTGGGTTTTTTGATCAGCCTCCCTCTGTCTCTCTCCATCTCCGTCTGCAGCTGTGTCTGGGTTCCATGTCTGCCTCTGCCCTTCTCCACGCCTCTCTGTCTGTCTCTCTCTCTATCACTGTCTCTGCACATCCATCCCCTGAGGCCTGCTACCCACACTTTTTCCAGGTCTCCATCCAGCCCAGGATACTGGGGAGAGGATCTTTAATGGAGTTGTATGTCCAAGAGGCTCCCATCCCTGGCAGGTGGCCCTGTATGACAACAATAAGTTCCAATGTGCAGGCGTGCTGGTCAACCAGCAGTGGGTGCTCACCGTCGCCCACTGCCACCAGAGGTATGGGACAGGGCAGCCAGCACCACTGCATGTCTCTCTCTGGGTCCCTCCCTTTCTCTCTCTCTCTCTGGGCTTCTGTCCTCCTAACTCTGGGTCTGTGTACCCTTCTCTCAATCACAGTGTCTCCCTTTGAACGTTATCTTTTTTTTTTTTAAGTGAGTACATTGTGCAAATGGGTAGTGATCTTCTGGTTGATGGAAATGCCCAGAGGATCAGGGCCACACAGTCCTTCATCCACCACCGGTATATCAACCACACCGATAACCATGACATCATGCTGGTGAAGCTGCGCAGCCCGGCCACGCTCTCGCCCACTGTGAGCACAATCGACCTACCGTCCAGCTGCAAAGACCCTGGGACAAGCTGTACTGTGTCTGGCTGGGGCGTCAGCCCCGGGGATAGAGGTGAGGCTGCCCCTGCGACACCAGTCACCAAGGTCCCAGCTCCCTTTTTCCTCAGGCCGCAGACACAGGGGACAGACCCAAGGTTCCAGACAGCCCCCCCCCGCTCCCCAAAAACCTCCGATCTCAGATCCAGGAAGCCAGACCCCCAGGGCCTGCACCTTCAGATCAGGAAGTTTGACCTTTAGACATAGGTTCCCCCAGGACCCATCCCGCAGACCCAGGCGTTTAGAACCCTAGTCACCACCTCACGCAGAGCCAAGTGGTTAGGCTCCCAGCTGCTTCCACCCTCAGACCCAGGAGTCTTGGCCTCCAGGCACCTTCTCCCTCAGACGAAAGGAGACCTGGTCCACAGCCCCCTTCTACCCAGAAGGTGTCCCTCAATGACAGTACCTCGTCCCTCCCTTGGTAGCTGCCACCAGGGAGAGTGGGGCTGGAACGTGCGGGGGCCAACCCCTTGGCCTGGCCTTAGGAATGAGGGGGGAGGTAGAGTGCGGGCATATGGGTTTAGCTGCCTCCAGGTTCCAGTTCAGAGCAAATGCAGGGAAGGTAACCCCAGAGCTGGGTTCACCTGAACTCCAGGACCCTGAGAGTTGGAGCGGGGTGGGTGTGCTATAAGGGGTCCACTCTGCACAGTACGTTCAAACCCAGGAGTTCAGACACAGGTCCCTTCCTTCCGAAGACCCGGGAGTCCACGAAATAGGACCCTTTTCACAACCATCGTATTGGGTCACCCAGCTCCTCCTCCTTCCATGTCCAGGGTCCCCATTCTTTTACATCAGCACCCACAGGTCCACAGAACCCAGGCTCTGATTGTCTCACCCCTCCAACTTCTCCAGGAGCAAAAAAGTCATCAGAGCTCATGTGCTCGAATGTCAACCTCATCTCCTACCGGGAATGCAAGCGGTCATACTGGATCCTGTTGAAAAAATACATGCTCTGTGCGGCTCCCCCGGACAGGCTGTCAGACAGCTGCAGAGTGAGTCCCCTCCTCCCCTGCCCTAGGTTCCGCTTCTTCTCACCCCAGGCCTGTCTCCCCCTCCATCCATTGTCCGGGTGCCTGACCCTGGTGCTGAGCCTTCCCTCACACCTTACCAGCCCCACTTTCCTGGCTCTGTCTACTCAGTTCTCTGCCCGGGTCAGGGTGGAAGCCTACGGGGTCCTGCACGGCCTTGGGGGCGGGCACAAAGCTGAAGGATAGAAACTGGGGGTGGGAATGGGGCTGGGACTATGGGGATGGCAGTGAGGCACTGGCTACAAGCACAAGCTTTAAGGGCACACCAACAGCTCAGTGACCAGGAAATATCATATTCCAATGAAATATTTAAAAAATAATCCATGGCCGAAACCGGTTTGACTCAGTGGATAGAGCGTCGGCCTGAGGACTGAAGGGTCCCAGGTTCGATTCTGGTCAGGGGCATGTACCTGGGTTGCGGGCACATCCCCAGTAGGAGATGTGTAGGAGGCAGCTGATCAGTTTCTCTCTCATCGATGTTTCTACCTCTCTGTCTCTCTTTCTTCGCTTCTGTAAAAAAATCAATAAAATATATTTAAAATAAAATAATACATGAATAGCAAAGCATCAGAATTTTCAACAAAAGAAGCAACCAGAATGGGCTGCATTTCCCATTTGCTTCGGGCTTCTATGTGATTCAGTGCAGCACTGTAATGACCTGGTCTTTATCTAAAACTGAAATACCACCCTAGCCAGTTTGGCTCAGTGGATCAAGCATAGACCTGCAGACTGGAGGGTCCCGGGTTCCATTCCAGTCAAGGCCACATGCCCAGGTAGCAGGCTCAATGCCCATTATGGGGCTGCAGGAGGCAGCCAATCAATGGTTCTCTCTCACTGATATTTCTATCTCTCTCTCCCTCTCTCTTCCTTTCTGAAATAAAGAAAAACTTTTAAAAATAACACAAAAGAAACTGGAAAGCAGGTTTCTCATGGATTTTTTTCATATTAAATTTGACTTTTAATATGCCTTAAAATGTTTGTTGCAGTCACTGAGATGCATGCGCCTGAGGCTCATGCCCTGCTTCTATGTCGGTGTCTCTGGTTCTAATTCTGAAGAAAGAAGGAGCCCCTCCTCTTTGTTCTCCCTTCCTCATCTCGGTAGCCTCCTCTCTGACTCTCAGAACCCTCTCTCTGAATCTCTCCTTACACCTCACTTCTTTTTATTTCTAATATTTGTATAGATTGCAGAGAGAAAGGGGGAGGGAGAGAGAGAAACAACAATGATGAGAGAGAATCATTGATCGGCTGCCTCTGCACGCCCCCACACTGGGGATCAAGCTTGCAACCCTGGCATGTGCCCTTGGCCAGAATCAAACCTGGGACCCTTCAGTCCACAGGCTGATGCTCTATCCACTGAGCTAAACCAACTAGGTCCTCACACCTCATTTCATTTTCTGGTTCCCTCTGTGTTCTGTGTTGTGATCTCTCTCTTTCTGCCCCACCCTCCCTCCGTCCCCCTCTTCCTCTCTCTCCGGCCTCCATCAATTCTTTTTTATTTTCTCCATCTCTGCCTCATTCCCTAGCCCTAACATTCTGCTTCTCTGTCTCCTTCATCCTTCCCTTTCTTCTTCTCTCCATCCTTCTCTCTCTCTTTCATCCTTTGCCTCTTTGTACCCCCACTATCTTTGCTCACATCTGCATCTCAGCTTTCAGGGGTGGTGAAATGGTATGTGTTAGGAAGAGAGGTGATGAGACAAGGTTGAATGTCCTAAAAATGGGGGATTCCCCATGGTCCCCCACTAAGGACCTGATTCAAAATTCTGCAAAGTGTGCAGGAACACAGAGTCGCAAACTAGGGACAGTCCCGCACTTGTTGAACTCACTCGCTTCTCTTAAACTTCCTATATTTGAACCTGGTGGTCCGAACTTTATTTTGCACTAGAGCCTGTAAATTAGGGCATTGGTCCCGCCCCTGGTTTCCAGGACTACCCTGTCCCCTATCTCTGGGTAAGGCAATGAATGGGATTCCCTGGAGGTAATGCTTCTTCTCCCAGGGGCTTGACAAATAAATGGGGCTCTGACATACTGTAAGCCCTGCCCACTCCCTTTGATTGGCTGGGGGTCAAGCCAATTTCTCCTGAAAACCTGGATGGTCCTCTCCATGATAGCATTAATTCTTGCTCTGCCATTGGTCCGCAGAGACAATGAGTCTCTTCCCATTGGCCGGGTGGTAGGCTGAGTTCTGGAAGGATAAAGGCCTTATAAGCCTGGTGTCTGTGGGACCTCATTGCTGGTTATTTTGAAATCAAAGCTAATCTGCTCTCTCCCCTCCAGGGTGACTCCGGGAGTCCGCTGATTTGCGAAGGTTCCCTGCAAGGCCTGGTGTCCTCCGGCTATTTCCCTTGTACTCCGCCCTTTGCACCAGTGATATACACCCGCATATGCATGTACCGCAAATGGCTGTATAAAACTATGAAAGCAAATTCCTAATCTCTCCATACTTTCATCCTCCATCCCTATGCCCTGAACAGGGCCTTCCCAGAAATAAAGACATCCTTGACTTGCAGCCGTATTTGACTGTATCATTTTCAAAGTTGCATGAAACCGTCAACAACATCCTAATAAACATTTGCAAAAACCCATGAGCTAAACATAAAACACAAAAACGTCGGTGCTGGTGAAGATGCGGGGAGACACCAACTGTGTTATCCAGGGGAAGTGGAGAACAATTTTTATGACACAAGGTTAGGCAAGGTGAGTCCGCAGCCTCATTCATTGCTCTTGACCTAGGAATTGTGGTAAATCCAAAACGTGGGCAAGGTTTGAATTCCTCACAACACTGTGGGGAGCTGGAAAGGCCATGACATACTCAGCCCCAGGGCGCCTTATGTGCCATGCCAGCTCAGCCTGGGTCAGTGACCCTGAGAGGGGGCCGTGCAAGAGAATGAAAGCTGGGTCTCAGTGCAACGCTGCCCTCTCGGGTGGAGAGAGACAGCGTCAGCGCCCACAAGCCGTGTCTTTATTCTATAGCAGATGCCAGGAGGCACTGTAAGGGCGTGGTCAAGATGTTTACAACATTCTCGTGGGTTTCAATCCCACTTCACTACATGCACCTGAACTCTATCAAGCCTGCATCACTCAGGCACGTGGGGCCACGTGTTTGGACCATAGGTTCAAGCTCACCACTACTCCTGTTGGCTATAACTGTGCTGGGAGGGCCCTGCCCTCCAAGCTGGGACTTGCACATGGCCATGAGAGGACTGTGCCCTCTCCTCAGTCCAAGGCTTGAACCTGTGCAAAACACTGTAGCTGTGCCCCACATATTAGCTGTCATAGCAAAACAGTGGAAATGCGGAACCTCTCCCGAATTATTCCATGGCTTATGTCAACAACAAATGGATGTAGGCCAGGAGACTAATGACACTGTTCAGGATAATAATTATGCAGAACTGTGAGTGTCACTCAGAATGCATATGCTGTCTGTTGTTAAATGCAAAAAAAGAAACAAAAATCGGATGTGGGCGCGGGCGGGGCGGCGCGTCCTCCGGGCCCCGCGGGGCGGGTGCCGGGGCTTCGCCTCCCCGGCCGGGTCTCCGGGGAAGGCCGGAGGCGGGGGTGTCTCCGCGGGGCGGGAGGCGGGGCGGGCGGCGCTGGAAACGGGGCGCATCGCCCGCGAGGTGGTCGAGCACCTGGAGCGGCTGGCGCTGGTGGACTTCGGCGGCCCCGAGGCCGTGGCGCGGCTGGAGAGAGCCGTGGCCTTCGCCGACCGGCTCCGCGCCGTGGACACGGACGGGGTGCAGCCCCTGGAGTCGGTCCTGGAGGACAGATGTCTTTACCTGAGATCCGACAATGTGGTAGAGGGCAACTGTGCTGAAGAACTACTACAGAACTCCCATCGAGTTGTGGAGGAGTATTTTGTGGCTCCCCCAGGTAATATCTCTTTGCCAAAGCTGGATGAACAAGAGCCCTTCTCACAGAGCTGAAGAGCTATTCTGGGAAGGGGTACACTGTGAATACATGGAAGCACGATAGTATTTTGTTATTATGAATACTAAAGTGCCCACTTCCCTCAGTAACCGGAAAAAATCGATGATTAAGTATTTTTCTTAGTAATTAACTCTTCTGAAGACAGAACTGGGAAAGATCTAGCCAAAACAAGGCAATGTGTTCCTGAAGCTAAGGTATTGTCTATTTCCAATAAAATGTTCACTCTGGAAGATATTATCTCCTCCCAAAACTGTCTACCCAATTGTACTTAAGTGAATTTTTTTAAATATAATCTGTTAGACATTGTATCTGGAAAAAAAAAAAAAAAAAGAAACAAAAATCGTATATGTCTGAGATCGTCACCGTGTAAAAAGAAATAGTCACAGAATAAGACCATGGACCAAACTGCCTGTGGACGGAGTCCTGGGTGCCTCCTTCCTTCCGTGTCCCTTTCTGTGCCCGTGCACCTCTACAACCTGAACAATATGGTGTGGACCTCTGAGGAGCCACGGGCGAGGAGACTTTCACAGAGGGAGGTGGGAAAGGAAAACGTAACCGATTTTGGAATCTCACCCTGCCTCCTGCACCCACTGACGCAGTAGAGTGTTCCTCTACATTTTCCAGCCCTCAGTTTTAGAGAGAGAGAGAGAGAGAGAGAGAGAGAGAGAGAGAGAGAGAGAGAGAGAGAGAAGAAGAAGAAGAAGGAGGAGGAGGAGGAGGAGGAGGAGGAGGAGGAGGAGAAGAAGAAGAAGAAGAAGAAGAAGAAGAAGAAGAAGAAGAAGAAGAAGAAGAAGAAGAAGAAACAGAGAACAGAAATGCCTACTTCACACGTGTGCAAAGGGGTGTGAAAAGAGTTCTGAGCATGTCACATATGTCAAACGAGGAGAGAAGGGCCACGTTTTCAGAAAGGATGGCGCTGGCACATAGAAAGGACACCAGAATCCATCGCGGCACTGCCACAAGTGAGCACCCAGAGTTTGGAGGAAGAGAGAACAGTGGGGGTGGAAACAGAGGTAGGTGGGCTCCTATTCTCACCCTGTGCCTGGAAGGGGCCTTTGGATGAGAGGAGGGAGGAGGGAGGAGGGAGGAGTCCCCTGTGTCTCAGAGCCTGGCAAGATCAGCAGGTCCCTGGTACCCTGGGCTCCCTGGGCAATCACCACAGACCCTGCTGACTGAGGGTCTTCTCCAACCAGCTGTGATAGGCATTTAGGCAGACATGAGCAGAGCAAGGACAACAGGCCGGGCACAGAAGTTCACCAGGGCAGAAAGCCCAGGTTTCTACCAAGGGGCAAAATTGGGAAAACAAGGACCTCACTCTCAGGATAACCCACCCCCTGTCCCCCAGCATATGGCGGTCATGTAGTTTTCTTCCCTGGGGATAACATCTAGGCCTCAGCTGTATTTCAGTTCCTGGCCCAGAAAAACAGCAAAACTCAGACAAGTGATGCCATGGCTACCTCAGGACCCCCTGCCCAGGCACTGACCAATCAGTGGAGACCACGACCCTGAAAGAATGCAGCTAAAAAGCTGATGAATATTTTATTGAGACCCTCCCCTGAGTCCTCCCCAATGATTCCCACCTGCAAGAGGGAGATAAGTCCCCTCTCCTTATGGGGAGCACACCCCAGACATTCCCTCTCCCATCTTCTTCCCCTATAGGCCTTACACTCCTAAACTCTAAGGGAGCCCAGGAGAATTGCAACCAGGGGAGCATTGGGCAGCGGCAGGCTAACCCCCTGAGCCTGTCTCCAATCCCCTCTTTGCTCCCTCTTCCCAGTGAGCCAGAGCGGCCCAGCCTGGACTCTCCTGCTGCTTCCATGTTGAGCCCTTCCTTACGTCGCTGTCCTGGCTATGCTTTTGCTGCGGCCAACAAATCCTTTGCTTGCTGTGCTGCACGTTGTTTCTTGATTGAATTCATTCCTACAAGAAGCTAACAACCGAGGTCTCTGCATCTCCCAGGTCACAGAAAAAATGAAAGCAAACGCTATCTGATTAGGATATTGTTAGCATTTAAAAATATATATATATTGATTTTTTAAAAAAAGGAGGGGAGAGGGATAGAGAGTAAGAAACATCCATGAGAGAGAAACATCAATCAGCTTCCTCCTGCACACTCCCTACGGGAGATTTGTCCACAACCAAGGTACATGCCCTTCACCGGAATCAAACCTAGGACCCTTGACTCTGCAGGCAGACACTCTATCCACTGAGCCAAACTGGTTAGGGCTATGAGTGCCTATCTTTTTGCAGCCCCATGTGAGGTGGGGGAAATAGACAATGAACAAATGCATAGAAAACAAACCATGCTACTGTTAGGTTAGGTGGCTCAGGAGGCGGCACAAGAAATAGAGTCCAGTGAATCAGAAAAGAAAGGAAAGGAAAAGGTTTATTCTGCGTCCCCGGGAGACCCACGTACCCCAAGGACAGGGCACGTGGATTCACGCCAACAGGGAGGGGGGCGCTTTTTTTTATACTGCGTTGGGTGAGGGGCGGGGACATGAGCTGAGGAATTCTCTGCTGCAGGGAATGGGCGGAATATTCAGGACGAAGTTCTTATCTGTGTGGGGGTATGTGAATTCAGAGAGAAGAAGCTGGTATCTGTGTCTGGCACCTTGATCTGTGAGAAATTCCAGGGGAAGTCCATTATCTTGTCATGTCTGCATGTATCCAATCCTGGGCTCTCTCCGACCTAACAGCTACAGAGTTGAAACAGGAATTTTAGGGGTAACATAGGACAGGTTTAGGAAATTTTAGAAATTTTTAAAATGAAGGGGACCATGGAGGAAGCACAGGGCTGCAGAGAGCAGAAGGTATATTTCCATAGAATAGGGGAAGATGAAAAGCTGCAACAGGCACATTTCCATAGAATGAGGGAGCTGGGAACACGAAAAGCTCTATATTTACAAAATAAAGAGAAGGAAACCCTTCATCCAGAAGGAGAAGAAGAAAGCCCAAAGGGAATAGGAAAACAATAAGGAAGGAAGGGGGAGAGAACCTCACATGTCCCAAGTGAGACTCCACCTTGAGCCCAGGAGTTAGTATAGTAACCAGTCTAAGGGACTAGTGACCTATCAGAAGGGATATCAAGGCACCAGGATCTGCAGCCTTTATAAGCCATAGGGAAAAGGAACTCAGTGGGATCCTTTCCCCCTCCCCACGTGGGAGTCTACATGTTCTTCAATAGATCTTCTCCTTTGCTATACCACTTTCTGTCCATGGGTTCATTCTTCGATTCCGGGAGACAAAGAATCCGGGTTCCAGTCCAAAAATTCCATTTCAGAGTTAAGTGCTATAATGAAATATCAGAGATGGCAAGAAGAGCTACCCCTGGAGACAGGGAAAGGTTTGTTGGTTAATTTGGATTCCACATGGAGATTCAGCTCAGAATTAGATTTGGAATTGATGGTTTGGGATCCAATTCTAGACTTGCAATGAGATCTGAACATGAAGTCGAGGTCTACCTAAAAAGACTCTGGCAGTGGGAGCAGCACCAACACAGAAACTTTAAACCAGGAAGGAAACCTGCAGGAGACATGAGATGAAGGGGCTCCATGGAGCATTAACTTACCAGCTCCACAACCTCCTCAAAGACAATTACCATCACCATCACTTTCTCTACGTTTGTCCATCCCCAGAGCTATGGCTCTATTCCCCGGGCACGTCCCTCCCCAGTTCAAGGAGGGCTGCCTCCCTTCCAGAATTTACACCCAGAAGGGACCCTGTCTAACAGAGTTGAGGAGAACTCTTCTCCTGCCTCACTTTGGGAAGAGGAGAGCAGTTCCCTGAAGTAACCCGGGGGTCTTCCTCTCCCTCCTCATTGGCCAACATTGTATCACATGTTTATTTATAAACCAATCCCTGGACAGCAGACATTTCCCGCCCTCCCCCTGTTATGGGTTAGCTCAGCGAGATAGACCACCGACTCAGAATTTAAATTTTAAGAGCCTTTATTAAGTTGACCAGCTGACTGCTAGCCGTGTCCTTCCCATAAGAGCCCACAGCTTGCAGTGCAGACCAAGAGTACAGCAAGACCTTTTATCGGCAACACTACAAAGTGTTATTTTTTAAAAAAGAAAAAAACTGCAAAGCGGGTCATTAGCCGTTCCTGGTAGTGGCAGGGTAAAAAGTTTACATAAAATTTACGAGCAGGGTCACACCTGGCTGGGTTCAAACAAAACACATTGCTTTTCTTGTGAGATAATTAGCAATTTTTCTCTCCCATGGGCCCTGCCCCTCAGTTTACTTAGTAATTCTTTTTTGTCAGGCCCCTGCCCCAGCACAGAAGGAGTGCATGCTGGGTAGGCAACACCAATGTCTATGATGGGTCAGCCTGTGGGACCGAGGTAGAATTGGATTAAAGATCTGAATTGAGATAACACATGGGCTCCCACTAAGGAATGAAGCATATTTGGGGTCTGAGTGAGAAGTGAGGGTCAATTCCACTGTTAGGAATCAGCCATCTAGTAGTCATCTGACAATGGTTCCTGTGTTACTCCATGAAAATGCCAAAGTCCTACCTCTGTCCTCAATCCCCGTGTCTTCCAAAACCTTGAGGCCTTTGAACCCATCCCCCAACCTTGTCCCTCTGATTCTTTCAGCTCCAATAAAAAAGTCTTCCCTGCTAGAACATTCTAGGTCTCCCTCCTCTTCTCACCTGCCCATCACTCTGCCAGCACTCACGGCTCCCAAGTAGCTACATGAATCCATCTACCACCTCCTACAAGATTTTGTGCGAATGTCCTCTTCACCTGGAGTCTTTCCAACCACCTTTCCCAACATTATAGCTGCAGGGGTTGGTGAGATCAAAGGGAACCAATAACCCCCTAGGCCTCCTCTGGTCTTATTTTTCTCCATAGCACTCACTGCCACAGAAAAAACAACAGCCTATAAATGTGAAGTTCTTATTTACTTACTTAAGGTCTCCACCCAGTGGAATGTGGGGCTTTGTGTCGGAATTTCACTGTTTTGTGGAATGTGTGCCCTCAGAGACCAGAGCAGATTCTGGCTCACAGTCAGTGCTCAGTAGATACTTCAGGAATGAATA